GGGATCAAGTCAGACCTTGAGACAGATTTTGGGTCCTGCGTCTGCCCGTCCAATGGGCAGGAAGGGAGAAATGAAGGATGGCAGGAGAAGGAGTGGCTATGCCGCTTCCAGATAGCCCCATTCTTTGCTTTGGCTCTCTTTCCTTCTTTCTTTCTTTCTTTCTTTCTTTCTTTCTTTCTTTCTTTTTTCTTTCCTTCCTTCCTTCCTTCTTCTTCCTTCTTTTCCTTCCATTCTCTCTCCTTTTTTTCTTCCCTTCCTTCCTTCCATTCTCTCTTCCCCCGTCCTTCCTTCCTTCCATTCTCTCTCCTTCCCTTCCTCTTTTCCTTCCTTCCTTCCATTCTCCCTCCCTTTCTCCTTTCCTTTTCTTCCTTCCATTCTCTCTCTCTTCCCCCCCCCTTTCCTCTTTTCCTTCCTTCCTTCCATTCTCTCTCTCTCTCTCCCTCCTTTCCTTCCTTCCTTTATTTCCTCCATTCAGCCATACATCCATCACCAATACAACCACCATTTATCGGCCGCCCATCTTAGCGCAGGATAACTCTGGGCATAACATTACAACGATAAAACCCTATAAATTACATACTACAAAAATGCAACAGTTAACAAAAGATTTGTCAGCTGTCGGCGCCATCGGCAAAAAGGGTTCCTATTTCCGATGTGGAGTCTGGCTGTTTATTCCAAGAGAGCCCAACATGTGGCAAAATTCATCCCAACCCCAACGGCTCCTTTGACTGTCTTCTGAGCGGTGTCATCTTACACCCTCCTCGCTCCCTCTCCTTCCTGAGCTGCCCCTCTGTGGGTGATGCCAAACAGATTCCTCTTCGCTTCTGCCCCACTGGCCCTTTTCAAGCCCTCCCTCTCAACGTGAGGGGTGACGTTTATCACCCTGGCAAGCAAGGCAACAGTTTGACACCGCCTTATCCCCATTTGTTCCTCACCCAGCAGCCGGAAAGCCATTTAACAGGTGGTTAATCACACCCGAGCATCAGGCTTTTTTTGCTGGCCTCCACATCTAATAGTCCTGGGCTCTGGGAAGCAGCTGTGACGTGCCATTTTTTTTTGGGTCCCTGTTTCCTTCTTTTTTTAATTGCAGCGGGTTTTACTTGCAAAAGAGCTCCTTTTTCTTCTCCGGTGCAACAGAAGGCATTCTTGAAATAAGCCCTTGGACTAAAATCTTTGATCATTTGCCACAGGCTGAGGGAATGATTCCGATGTTACATCTTTTCTATCCTCTATGGAGTAGAGAGCTGGACTCTTGACAGAGAGCCTCTTGAAGAGACGAGAAGCATTTGAAATGTGGATTTACCGGCGGCTGTTACGTATCAGCTGGGTTGACAACATCAGAAATGAGGTGAAATGCTGCCTGGGGAAGCCAAAGGAAATCATCAAAACCATTGAAAAGCTAATGTTTGAATATTTTGGACATGTGATGCCACACCCAGAAAAATATGGCGTCCTTCACTTAATCCTCCAGGGAAAGATTGAAGGCAAATGAGGTCCAGGCAGAAAGAAGAACATCATGACTTCAAAACCTAAGGGACTGGTTTGGGCAAAACTCAGCAGTACTTTTTCATGCGGCTGTTGACAAAAATAGGATGGCCAACATGATCGCCAACATCCGATGATGGATATGGCACAAGAAGAAGAAGAGGGAGTGATAACAGGGTAGTTGGATCTTATGAGTGGAACCCTCTGAAACACCTTTGAGATGGTCTCAATTCAGAATAGAATAGAATAGAATTCCTTATTGGCCAAGTGGGATTGGACGCACAAGGAATTTGTCTTTGGTGCATATGCTCTCAGTGCACATAAGGAGAAAATACATTCATCAAGAATAAAAAGATACAACACTTAGTGATAGTCAAGGTTACGAATAAGCTATCATACAAGGAAAGAAATAGAAACGATATAAATTGAAAGATACAAGCAACATGATTATAGCCATAAGTGGGAAGAGATAGATACTAGTAAGGAAGAGAAGAAGAATAGTAATACTGTCTTAGTACATAATTTGACAGTGTTCTGGGAGTTATTCGTTTAGCATGTGATGGCATTCGGGGGGAAATTCCTTGTGTCTAGTTGTCTTGGAGTGCAGTGCTCTTTAGCTGTTGTTTTGAGGCTGGGAGTTGAAACCATTTATGTCCAGGATGTGAGGGGTCTGTAATTTTCACAGCCCTCTTTTTGACTCGTGCAATATGCAGGTCCTCAACAGAAGGCAGGTTGGTAGCAATTGTTTTTTCTGCAGTTCTAATTATCCCTTAAAGTCTGTATCTGTCTTGTTGGATTACAGAGCCAAACCAGACAGTTATGGAGGTGCAGATGACAGAGTCAATAATTCCTGTGTAGAACAGAATCGGCAGCTCTTCGGGCAGTTTGAACAATAGCTCCGGGGATGTGGCTGTGGGTTTTTTTGGAGATGGCATGGAAGAGAGTCTGCTACTATCCCTGGAATGTGTTTTGATTTTGTAATCTAGTCTATGAAAGTCAGTTTCGCGGGGAGTGAAAGGCACTGGTCGAGAAGACAGGAGACTTAGGAGTTTTACTCCCACTTTAGGTCTTGAAGCCAGCTGGGCAGGTTTTGGACCAATCCTCTCAACTCCAGGAATAATGCAAATCCCACTCCTGAAAACATAGTGATTATTTAAAAAGCAAATTTCTTGCGCTGAGATGATGCATTTCAGCCAAAATCCGTGGTGCACCAAGGATGCCTCATTTCTTTTCTCATCAAATTTATATGGACAAGTGACTGGGCGGTGTACAGGCAGACTAAAAACCAATATATAAAAACAATTATGATTATTAAAAATGATTTTAGAAAACAAAAAGGCTGAGAGGGAACAACAGATGTCAACAGCAATGGAGCCACCTCAATATATCATCGGTCCCGTGGAGTCAGCAGGCCTAAGGCACATTATAAGGGACTTCTATAAAATTGACAGGGACGGAATCGGACTCACTTTTTATATCGGACTAACAATCCATGATCTCATGGGTTGTCATTTCAGAGAGATTTCCTTACCAGATCCCTCAATTCGTTCAACAATGGCAGAGCTTGTAACATACTTGAAGAGTTCTTTAAAAAACTCTGGAATTTTCCAAAGCACCCAAAAGGCAAGATAAGAAATGGATGGAAACTAGCCAAGGAGAGAAGCAACCTAGAACTAAGGAGAAAATTCCAAATGGTGAGAGCAATCTCAACCAATGCTTGTCTTCAGAAGATGTAGGTGCTCCATCACTAGAGGCTTTCAAAAAGACAAAGCAACCCAGAGGTGCTTTTTCAAGAGGGAACTGGACTTGCTGGTTCTTCTTCGAAGATGTTTCACTTCTCATCCAAGAAATTTCTTCAGCTCTGACTGGATGGTGGGGAATGGAAGGATTCTGACCATCCAGTCAGAGCTGAAGAATCTTCTTGGGCGAGAAGCAAAACATCTTCAAAGAAAAACCAGAAAGTCCTATTGCCTTTTGAAAAAGCACCTTTGGGACAACCATGTCCTGGATAGCTGAGAATCTCCATAAACAGATGAGACAACCATTTGTCTAAAATAGCATAGGGTCCCCTGCTTGAGCAGAGGGTTTGACTAGAACAGTGTTTCTCAACCTAGGCAACTTGAAGATGTCCGGACTTCAACTCCCAGAATCCCCCAGCCAGCATTCGCTGGCTGGGGAATTCTGGGAGTTGAAGTCCGGACATCTTCAAGTTGCCTAGGTTGAGAAACACTGTTCTAGTCAAACCCTCTGCTCAAGCAGGGGGCCCTATGCTATTTTAGACAAATGGTTGTCTCATCTGTTTATGGAGATTCTCAGCTACCCAG